AGACCGTTCCACAACGCGGCTGTGCGGGGCAGAAAGTTCCGCGAAAACCGCACGGTTGTGGAATGCCAGCCATCGAGATGGTGAGGATGGTTCCTGGCGGTCTGTCTTGTCGTCCGATGACGAAACTCGGCGGCAGGAATCGTTCCAAATCCGTTCAACCGTTTAGGCTAAAAACTCTAACAAACATCAATCTATCCATCTAAACTTTCGTATTTACATTATTAGCATGAAGTATGATTAATAGCATGTTTTTCAGTTTTCAGGTATCCTTATACCACATCTGTAAACTCCTTAACCGATAGCACGAAGCAAGTATGTTACAAGAACGTCTCATCGAGAAAGCATTCTAAATTAACGATTTCAATGAACGGTGTTTTTAAATTCGTTTCTATTCCGTGATTATGACATCGTTCAGTTCAAAACAAACGCAAAACAGTTATGTAAGTTAGAAAGTTGAGACACGGTCACGGCTCCCGCAGCTATAGTACATTTGCTGTACCTACTTCTAGCATGTTTCGTAACCAATGTTTTTATCCGCTTGTTTCTTGTTCATATAAAAACATTTATTACATATTCATTAGTGCTAATACGAAATCCAGGAATGACATGTTCTATGTAAAATTTTCGTTATTTTTTTTCGATAAAGTTTTTGTGAGATTTCAGACAAGTTGACCTTCTAGTGACATCTAATATTCAATTTAGGTATTCCTGAACATATCGACAATTTGATAAAACATTTTGATTCGCCGTGCACGAAATAAAATGATGTCATTGTGTCACTGGGGTACGGGTTTTTATGTCAGCGTCTGTCCTTGATTGAGAAGTAGGAAAAACATCGTTGAAGTTAATGTAAAAATCCTATTGTACAATATTTCATGTTTCCCCATATAAAAGATTTCACCTTTGACCACAGATTTGAATACTGCTTTCGATGAAATAATTGTAATTTTAAACGGTAGTGTACTATTGCCTAAAATAAGGTTAGCCAAATAGTGAATTTAACCAAGGATCGCTTGGAACATTCCCCATTTGCTATTCTGTACAAATATAGATGTTTATTGTTTTGTTTGCTGCGACCTCGAGACTTTGTATTGTTATTGACATCAAGATGTTTCTAGAACGTGGAAGTTTCTGTAATTGGATACATGAATCGTGTTTATTTATATTTAGTTATATAAGAAGATTTTTTACAACATAAGGTTATTAGATGTTCATCAAAAATCTTTATAAGCGTACAGATATAGTCCAGCCGGATTTCTGCAGTTACCATTAAAAGAATCGCTGCGATTATTCCTAGACAGTACTTCATCAATCATAACTAAGATATGTCATTGAGACGCAACATTCTGGGTTTTCCCATATTACTTGCGTATTTTTTATCTTTATTTAGATTAGGCCTTTTACCCTATCCGTGTATGTACTAGATAGGCGTCAATTGGGCGACCGCCCAAAGCGCGGTTCAACCATTTTAAGTGGCAAGTAGGTGTACGGTAATTAATCAGAGAAAACTATTCATCTCGTATGACAACGTCAGTTATTCTATGAAGCCCCAATGTTGCACCAATCATGATAATATATTTGTCGAGAAGATCGTCTTAATAATTGTCTATGGCATCGTTTATATGATTACAAGAAGCATTACAAAAGAGCTGCAGGCATTGCGTTCACGTAACGCGATCACGTCTCGTTTGTTTGTAAACATTACTTGAAGGTTAATGACAGTTTCACTTTACTGTGCTGTGTCTTCCCATTGGCAATGCACCTGTACAAAAATATCGTTGTCTCTTTTTTTTAAGAGAATGAGCGGGCGGACAATTAGTTTTTGTAATTGTTTTCCCATTTGAAATCACGTTTACAAAACCCGTATCTTTCCCATACGTTATTAAAATGCGGATTTTGTGTTTGTTGTATTTTACACAAATCCTTTTTAGGTTTTTATGATCTTAATTATGGGCCAATACGCCGTTTTAATTATCTATTGCATTTACTCTTAGTCAATGAATTGTCTACTATATTAATATAAACACAAGTTTATTATTATTCATACTAACGTGTAATAATATTTTTTCGATTTCTTTAAATAATTACTATTTCGAATATATAACACTGACATAATAAATCAACTATTATATTAATAATTACGTATATGGTTGTATTCAATAATATTTTCTCATTTAGCTTTCACCTTCACACGATTATTTTTTTACTTGTTAAGAGTACGCTAACAATGGTATTTATTTAAATGAAACATATAACATAATTGTCTGGGAAATTTACCGTAGAAATAAAAACATCGTAGTAGGGTTGCCAGAACTAAACAATGAATAGAAAAGTAATTATCCATACTGGGGACAAATTAAATTGTTCTGCTCCAATTAGTTTCAACCTAAGGCTCTATTAATTCGACGCGTGTGCCGTTTAAAGATTTCTTAATCTATTGATCTATGGTTTTTGTTGACAACCCTGGATGGAAGAGGAAACTCAGCTGCGCAAACAGTGTGAATCAGTGAGAACGGTATTTGAGAACGACCGAGTTACCATACACGTCGATGTTTCTTACCTTGTTCCGCAATCATGAACTGGTTACGTGTTGTGTTGTGGCGCCTTAACCTAGATGCTGCGATGTGGTGTGCCCTTGAGGGCCATCTGCATTACCAAGTCCTAGAAATAACAAAAAAACATAATAGCCTATAGCTAAGAATCGTTAGGTTGCGGTAACTTTTAGGCACAATAAAATGAAAAAAAATAACATAATTTGCATATGAACTGTTACTGCTTAGAATTAACATCAAACTGATGATGTTTTTCACCAGAGCTAATTTCGTCCAACATTATACAAAAAAGGCATTTTCTTTTTTTTATTGGTCATGCATCATCTTTAATTAGCCACAATTAGTATAGGTACTTTCCCATAAACCCATAGTGCAATGTAATTAATAATGTTTGCCAATTAGTGGTAATTAATAGATTAAATATTGTGAAAAATATTCGTGAATCGAGCAGTACCTTTACAATAAAATATCTATTTTGATAAACAAATGGCATTGACTTGACAAGATTAGATTCAAGGCCGTCTAGTCTGGTTAGTGAAAGTTTGGTTATGTGGCTATATTAGAAATAAAAAATATTTCGATTTAACTACTTACCCCTCATTTTAGTCATTATACATGTTAAGGATAAAGCCAGAAATATAATAACCTTACCATTGGCTATGAAATACTGCAATTGTCCTCGTTTTAATAAATGCAATATTAAAGAAACACATTGAATTGTCAAAGTTACAGTTCGCTAAATACAAATACACTCAATATTTAGTCCATTTTACCACAAAAGAACACTATAAAACGTTATTTTTATGTTAAATTTACTAAAAACGCGAATCTGTATTATTTTATCACTGACAGCTACGCCAGACATTGAGGATAAAACACCGTATTCAAAATTTTGTTCCAAACGCCATCTATTGTCCAAAAGCAGCATTAAAACACCAATGCTTGGTTAAGTTTACAAATGCTAGTGTTTCGCATTAGTTTGGATTGCAGTAAACAGATGGCATTTCTAGATTGATTTCAAAACCAAAGCCCTTGCAAACTAAGGTCGTAAATACCAATGGCAGTATAGGTATAGGGCGTGTCTTGTTAAACGTACGCTGGAAGACATTGTTTGTGCATTGGTATACTCACGCAGAATAGCGCTAGGTGTTACGCTTTTATCCTATTTTTGGTTGCGCGCGCAGGTTTGTTTCCTTCCTCCGCAAACCCTTACGTTTAGACCAGAGGTTCTCAAATTTGTGCCCGCGGAACGATTCGTTCGTATGTGGTCGCCACTATTCGACAGACTAACTTTTTTTCTTAAATGTCAGTTAAAAATGTGAATTATTTTTGTTAGTTTTAATTATTTTGGTGCCGGAGGCCTAATTTAAGTCCCTTTCTCTTTAGCACCCTTTTCTTATAGAGAGGTTGGGAAGAGGAAGTGGATTTGACAGTGGAGATGCATAGGAAGGGGAAATATCCTCTTTATGTGCGTCTCCTCCTCCGTCGGATAAGGGTAGGCAACACATCTGCAATTGCGGATGTCTATGGGCAGCGGTCGCTTCGCCATTTTGACGATTTCAGGTGCCCGTTTGCCACCTTGTTATATAATAAAAAAATTATTATAGACTGCCAAGCTAGGTGTAAATAAATATATAATAATAATTTTGAGACTTGTTTTTTTTTTAATAAATTAAAAGTATAAAAATAAATGATGGGCAAATGAAGTTATGGAAGGAGTTGGTTGATTAAAGGTAGATGGTATCCGCCGCTCGATCGCTATTTTACAATGTCCTCCAAGAGTACAAAAAGGTTGGGAATCCCTGGTCTACTCATGTAAAATGCTTTAGTTTACATGGAGCTACGTAATGAACGTGGAACAAAAAATATAGAAATGAAAAGCCATCAGTTTATTATACATTAATTTATTAATCGGAATTTAATACTGTATTACATAGAAGAAATGCACTTCTCAGAAACATTCAGAAGACTTCCCTTTGGGACAGTTTAATAAGGAGCCTCTGCGCTCTCCATTTATTTTATAATTGAATAAATATAAACTATGTACTTCTTCGTTAATAGAATCAATATTTATGAAGATCTGCATTGCCACATACTTAAAAATCTATGTATATTTTTCACAAACTCCAAATTTTGAGAAAATAATTCTTAATGTTCTGTGAAACCATGAACCTATTATCAAAAGTAATGTCGGTTGTTAAATAAAATTTCGCAAATTAACAACAAATAATAATATAACTCTAACACAGCTTCATACTGTCGCGCCACTGTCTTTGTCAACAACATTTTCCATCACATTAAATGAAACAACGCATTTGAATGACTTTTATCAATTTTCTGGATCTCGGTGACCGCTTAGAAAGGCTATTTGACACATATCCAACATAGTGAATAATAAATTTTGGAAAAATAAACACACAGCACGAGAATGCTATCAATATAAATACAAACACCTTAATCCCATTCAGTCAAAGTGGAACATGTATAAAATATTCAATTAGAAATAATTATAATCAGTCTTGTTTAGAGAAAAAGTTTAACCATAACGTATTGAAACGACGTCGCGATATATTTACTATCACAATACAATATGTCAGATATGATGTCATTCCTTCCCATGGACGTAACTAGTATATAAATCGCCTGCTACGCTACTTAGTGTTATTATCACAGTTGTTTAGTAGAGGTGGGTGCAGTACTTTGTACACAAACAGGAGCTACCTGCAATCCGCGACCAAACTTGACACGCTTGCCGATCTATACGTACGCACTACCCAGGCCCGCCCGCCGACAGCGCTGCCCGCGCGGGCAGGCGGCCCGCCGCTGGAAGATCATCTTTCAGATGATGTTTTGCACAAATACACATTCTTCCGCTTAATGTACATTCATAATGAAGCGAATCTCGCAAAGGTTATGTTCAAGTAGCGAGATTCACGAACACGTCGGTCACCCTGGCTCTGTGCTGTTACAAACCGCTCCTGAGACGTGCTCAACACGGGCTCACAGATAATAACGTTTACGTCCTTCCGAACTGGTATAATTTAGTCACCTCGCGGCAAACTGAGAACTAAACTGAATAACAATAAAATATTAAATCTTACATCTATCATATTATATTATATCTGTGAACGACTTGCAAACTTTGTTGTCACAAACATTCATGAAATTCGTTCAAATAGTCAAAAAATATATTTTTGTCTAGTGAAACATGTTCCGTGCGCACAAGAACTGTTTCTATGTATTATAACAATTGACCAACGCAACGACAGGTTATAGTAATGAAATATCACAGATTTTTACTCTTTGGACAGTAATGGGTTTCTAAAAAACAAACTCAAACCTTTGCCTACTTTGTACCGATTGACTATTTCTTTGTCATAGCCCTTAGAACCCCTTTACGTACAAAGAAACTCCAGTTAATAACTAGACGAATATGTGAAATTACATTATGTAAAAGTAATCGAAAAAAACAAATATGAAGAAAACACTTATTTTGCTAAGAAAAGAAAATAACCATCGTTTGATTATTTATAATGCTCAAATTACTAATCTCCCTAAGTTAAATGCAATGTATTTACATTCTTGCTACATTTTTGAGAATGGCAGAATCAATTTGTTTAGCATTCAAGAACCAGCTGTTCACCTCAGGTCGCACCGACGTAAGACTAAATACCCCTACACGTAATACTCAACTTTAAGATCTAATCGTAATAAAAATAACTTCGAAATCAGTGACTTGAAATGTCATTGACATCATATTTTTACGTAAGAAAAATATTCACAATTTTATCTGGCAATACAGATTTGTTGTTTATGAAATATATCAAAAGCATTTTTAAAATTTTTCTACTACTAAGTTGTCCCGTAAGTTTCACTGGTAAAGGTCTTTAACAATAAAATAATTTATATAAAATATATCTGCCATTTGAAAGCCCTCCCCTTCCTAAAATTTTATCTCATCTTCTACATGTTTCGTGCATTTCGTACATCATACAGACATTTAAAAACGAAAGGCACCCGGGATTACACATGAGGGTACCCACACCGACTACTCTAACAAATATAATGATTACAATCTAATGTGGATGACAAGTTGCTCCATCCATCCACCGTCCTACTCGCCCCGGACTGTTGACCATCACACCTATTCATGTTATAAACATTTTATACATGAAAATACGCCAATCTGATAAATTATACAAAATTCTTATTAAATTTTGAATGTCAGTTTGAATCAGAATATTTTAATCAATGAGGTGTTTTCAAGGTTGAGAACTTACACCGTTTAATAACATTATCGGTTAATGTCAGTTATAATTGTTATTACTAAATACACAGCAGTGCATGGTCAACAGTTGAGCCCAAAGTTATTAAATCTAACACACATAGTATACATATATTATTACTTCAAATGGATCTGAAAGAGAATAGGAAAAATAAATCAACATTTAGCATACAGCTGCATACATATAAAGTTAAATTTTACCAATCAATAGTAAATATAAATCAATCAAACCAATTATTTGCTCTAGTAACTTTTAGGCATGACATTGGAAAAGTTTTCATTCAGATCTATCGTGTAATAATCTAAAATAAGGAAATTAAAAAAAAGTAATGAAATAATGTCTTACAAGGAGAGACATCTTTTAATAGGGGATGACTAATGTTAAGTAGACAACTACAACATCAAGTAAATTGAATAATTTTCTATATGAAGTTTTCATAAAACATACAATAATAGCGTATTATTCATTACATTTAAGACATTTATATCTTTAGTTATAACATCAAACATTGACATTAAGCTATTTTGGATAGAAGTGATACTTCACAACATCAATCATCCCGTCTCTACTTACCTTCAACATGGTAATAATTTAGACATCGACCAACTCGCTAAGTACATCCAAATTTAAATCTTTGAAAACGTCAAGAGAGCTCAATTATAAAGGTTCTGAAAAATATTTCTTTAAGCGAGACACTAAGAGCTCTGGAAGGTTACCAGCGGCTGGTAGTATAAATAGCTAGGTGCGTGGTCAGTTACTGCTGAATGGGCGCGGCGTAGACCAGCGGGCCGGGCGGCAGGTGCGGGTAGGGCACGCCCGCGCCCACCGCCGCCTGGTAGCCGCACGGCGCGCCGCCGCCCACGCCGCCGCCGTAGTACTTGCCACCTTTGTTCAAACATACATTCAAAAATAAAGTAAAACTACACATACCTCAAACGACCCAATCAACAGTGTCAATTAACTTTCGTGAGACAAACTAACTAGTTATACTAGTTAGTTTACGACTCACGTCAAAAATAGACGTGAGTAAAAGTAGTAATGTAATTAGTTAACCCAATCAAAAGCTTAAAGTTATGGATTCAACATATCTGGTCAAACAGTAACAAATATTTAAGGTATCTTTATTAATAAAGGCATAAGAGCACTACTTTGTGAAAATAGTCAAATTGTAAATTATTTCAAGCCATATGAGAACTTAAGAAGATGTGATGTTTTAAAATAGGTAAAAATATCTATTAGCAATGTTTACTAACCAAGCATATCCTGAGGGTGTGGGTGCATTTGGGGATAATGAGCGGGGGTGGCGAAATGAGGTGGCGGTGATCCATATGAAGAACCGGATCCGCCAGATTTGTTTCCGTTGGTGGAGTTATTGTTGCGATATTGGGGTCCATTATTGCGGGTATCTAAAAATTTTGCTAATATAAAAAATATGCTAGTGAAATAAAAATTTACAAACTATAATGCATTAGCAATACATACTTGTAAATTGACGCTGGCCGTATCCATTCTGGTTGTTGTAGTTGCCTTGGTATCCATTGGTGTAACCACCTTGGTAATTGCCCATCGATTCAAACACAGTGGGGCTGGGGAATGGAACCTGCTTCTGATAGTTGTTCTGTCTATAACCCTGGTTGTTCTGGTTCTGGTTTGTGAAGCGAGGCGCTTGTTGGTTCTGGTTGCGGTTTTGATAGTTATTCTGGCTGTCCTCAGGATTAACATTGGCCATTTTATTGTTCCACTGGTTGTTCTGCTGACGAGGCGAGCTAGATCCGCTGTTATTCTCTTTTCTTTGTTGCCAGCGATTGCGGCCTGCGACGAAAAATTTAATTATTGGTTTATGAGAAGTTTTTTACATTATTAAATTAAAAATATGTAAAAACATAATTTCTAAATGTGATTACCTGATCCACTGTTGTTGTTCCTGGCCATATCATTAAGCTTGGCCGGAGGGTTTTGACCAGTTTCACGCAGCACAGCTACAAGGCCGCGCGCCTGGCGAGCGTCGCCACTAGTGAAGAATGTGTACGCTGTTCCCGATTGCTGGCAACGACCAGTACGTCCTGTTAAATCCAAAATGAAAATTAGTTAAAAACGCCAAATATGTATATCATATTAATATTGACAAATAGTTACCTATTCTATGAATATAATCTTCAGATGAATTCGGGTAATCGAAATTCACAACAAATTTAACATCTTCGACGTCTAAGCCGCGCGCAGCCACGTCTGTGGCGATCAAGATGGTGGTGGCTCCGTTGCGGAACTCTGTGAGCACAGCGTCGCGCTCCGGCTGCGACTTGTCTCCATGGATGGCCAGCGCCTTGTGCCCGTTGCGGCGCACTGCGCGCGCAATGTCGTCCACCTTAAACATTACATTGAAAATTAATTAATTATGCATTCATTTAAAATTAAGTATTTTGATAAATTTCTTTATATGTACCTTTTTCTTTGTTTCCACAAACACAATAACCTTGTTATCTTTTTCGGAAGAAATCTCTTTAAGAAGGTTAGCAAGTTTCATCTCTTTCTCATGTTCTTCACAAACTTCAACAATCTGCTTGATATTGTTATTAGCAGAAAGATTTAGGGAGCCAATGTTAACCTTGATATAATCATTCAGGAAATCTTCAGCTAGAGCTTGAATCTCTTTGGGCCAGGTGGCGGACCACATCAAAACCTGACGATCGGGTCGGATTTGCTCAATGATCTTACGAATCTGGGGCTCGAAACCCATGTCCAACATTCTGTCGGCCTCATCCAGCACCAAATAAGTGCAGCGACGCAAATTAGTAGCTCCACGTTCAAGGAAATCGATCAAACGACCCGGAGTGGCAATGACGATTTCAACTCCCCTTTCCAAGTCCCTGGCTTGAGGTCCTTTTGGTGAACCACCAAAAATGCAAGTATTACGGATGCAGCCATTGGCACTGTAAGCTTGAGCGACGGATTGGATCTGTTGCGCCAGCTCTCGAGTGGGCGCCAATATGAGAACAATAGGGCCATCGCCTCGTTGAATTCGTTGTTGGTGCACAATGTGAACCGCAGCAGGTAGCATGTAAGCAAGTGTTTTACCCGAACCAGTAGAAGCAATTCCCACCATGTCACGTCCAGATAAAGCAATAGGCCACCCTTGAGCCTGAATACCTGTTGGTTCTTCCCAACCTTGCTCTTTGATAGTATTCAAAATATGGTCAGGGAAATTGCCCTCCTCAAAAATCTGGTTAGGACGAGGCACATTGTTGCCACTAACAGTTATTTCTTTTGTAGCCAGGAACATCTGAACATCCTCTTCGGTGCGCCCTTCCACATTGGCATGTGGCTTGTAGAAATCTTTCATGATTGGGCCAAGTTTGGACAGGTCCCACATGGGTTTCACCAAAGCGTCTCCAGGATGCTTAGCCTTCATGCTCTGAAGTTTTCGTCCCTTAAACTCCATTGATTGTTGTCCCATGGTGGGGCTATATGATTTTCTTTGACCATAGTTTTGTTGATTAGGGTTTCCTTGGTTGCCATTGTAACTCTTAGGTCCATAGTTGTTTTTCTGGAAACCCTGCTGCTTAGGCCCACCAAAATCATTTTGCCCATTGTAGAACTGGTTACCTCCTGGGCTTTTTTCTCCATCATATTCATTCTTATTTTGTTGCTGATTGTTAAAATTATTCCTTGGTCTGTATTCCTTGGGGCCACCAAATTCATTTTGATTTTCATTTTTCTGGTTATTGAAGTCATTTCTTACTCCATTGAAATCAGCTCTTGGCCTAAAGGTCTTATTACCCATGTTCCTGGGATTAAAGTTTTTTGGCCCTCCAAAGTCAGGAACACCGCCATTATAGTATGGCATTTTACCGAATTGTTCATTCCGGTCAAGTCGAGGTCTGAAACTAAATGCGGGATTTCAATACTAAAATGTCATATTCAATTTAAGACTTTGTTTGGGCCCTTATATGTAAAAGGTATTTTTTATTGCAAATTGAAAAAACAGATTCTATTCAAATCAGCTGATAATAAAAATAAAAGATTTTCGTTTCTAGTCAATTAAAAATTTGCAGTTAATGCTAAAAGCTTTTTTAATTACTTAAAGTATGGTATTAAAAAACTTGTTGGTTTTGTTTAAGTTAATTACTCAACTACTCAAATATGCAACAGGTAAACAATCAAAAATTGAGAATAAAAATAGGCCTTATTTTAATGTACCTGCAGTAATTTAACAATTGTACATAATAACTCAAACTTCAGTATACCTTTCATAGATAATTGATAATCACAATGTTGCATGCAGTTTTTTTTTTATTTTTCATTAGATTTGACTATTATCTGAATTAAAAAAATAGTAACTGACACCTCTTATGTATCTCCAAGTAATTTACATAATAGCAAACTATGTTGTGTAAACTGTATAAATTTCTACCATTAAATTGACTTGTTTTTTAATGAGGGACTCTATAGCCATGAAAACAAAAAATGAAATGCACTACAGAATAAATCTTTGATTAGAAACTTGCACACAAAAATAGATGACCAGTGAAAGCTGCGAGTTTGATATCACCAGTAGGTAATGAGAATTTATACAAGACATTCGCGATAAAATTACATACCTGATCAGCATTGGAACTATCTACGCAAAATGATTCTGCTACTTCTCGAATGTTTCACGGTAAAAGCAAGTATTGATTTTTTCGAAGGTACAAGCATGCGCAGTAATGGAGTAGTTTCATAGACAGAAACAACAAAGAAATAATGAAAAAACCTTAGATACACTAATTTATATATCATTCCTAGTAATTTTTATAATACTTTTAAATCTATTTGTGGAAAATAAATGCAGCCATAAGATATCAGCTGTGTGAAACTCATTTCACAAAATGGCCGCTCCCTTGTAACATACAATCAATACCCTCCGCAACATATGCGGCCATTTTGACATGGGCATTGCAAATTTATAATTGTGAAAAGTGGAATATTAAGTAAATAACTTACATAGGATGTTGATTGTGAAATCCGTTGAACTGCATTTTGCCGTTTTTTCTGTAAATGTATAGGCGCTTACCTACGTGGTGGTAAACGCTTGAGTAGGTATCTGGAACATCGTGATTGGTTAATCCTTTTGATTTTAACTAAGGCATACTTATCTATCTACCACATAAAGAAATGAAAACAAGTAAAAAACTTACCTCTCAATTAAGAGAGAATTTGAAATAAATTTTAATGATTTTTCATAAAATTCTACCGACTGACCCTGCGAACGAACAACTCGATAATGGAAAATGGAATCAATGATGGCTACCGGAAACTGATTGTGTTGCCAGTTTGACAAGCTCATGCGAGACTGTATAATTTGTAGGTTCAACTTAAAAATTATTTAACTATTTTTAAATAAACATCTATCTTTTTTTCCTGTTTATTTTTAGTACAAGGGTTCCTTCATCAAGAACAAGAGCTATTCACGTTCACGCAGCACTTGGTAGTGGTTCGTTGTTCATTTTACCTTATCTAAGCATTAATGAAACTAATTATGTAAATCTTTACTGCTTACTGATGTTATCTCCCAGAATGGCGGTTGTAAAGTTTACATTTTAAAACAGTGTAAGGGGTTAATTATACACCTATATTACAAAATGGATAATAGTTAGTTAATAGATAATAGTTCAAAATCATGCGAAACGGTCTTGCTGTTTGCTTCCGACAGTACTGAAGGCAGGAGGCTATAACTTATTAAGCAAGTTCCCTAAGCACAGTACCTTAGTAATGTTATAATGCGAAAGTTTAGATGGAGGTATGGACAGATGGATCTTTGTTGGAGTTTGTAGGCTAAGCTGCATAACGGGTATAGATGTTGGCATAGATATAGAACATAATCTGGAAGAACACAAAGTATTTCCTTTTGTTTTTTATTTTCACGCGGATGGAGTGGCAGGCATAAGCTACTTTAAAATAAACGTTTATCCTTATTTTTTGTTCAAGTAATATTGTTTAATTAAGATGGATGCTCCATTTCCGGTTTTAGTAGTTTTTGGTAGGTTACACTTTCAGAAACGACAATGCAAAAGAAAATGCCGGTTCTGTACGGTGTGACCACTGACCTCTATACATGGATAGGCTACAAGACGTGGTTTTGTGTTTATTGATGAGTTTCGCCATTTGGCCCTCGGTGAAGGTTGGTAACGACCCTGTAGATTGGAACTAGTAATCTTACTATATCATACCTTACTAATTACTAATATTATAAAGGCGAATGAAGGCGAAGATTTAATGAACAAATGAATGTTTGTTAGAGTTTGCAACCTTAAACAAAGCCTAAACGCTGAACGAATTTCAATAAAATTTGGCATAGATGTAGAACAAAGCGAAAGCTAGTGGAATTATAATTGTCAGTTAGGAGCATAGACTGGCGCGTTTAAGTCAGAGCAATGCAAAACTTATTATTACCAAGCAATTACCTATCCATTTATATTAATCATCATGTAGTGGGTTGCTGTTGTCATCTCTTTCCTTTTTCCTATCTCTTAATATAGTCTACTCACTCACTCCTTTCCGATCAATCTCACGACTCACGTTGACAGACAGTTGTCAGTTGATTTTGTGTACCAGATTTTTAAATGTCATTTTGAAAGAAATAAAGTGTGGTTAAATAAATTATATCGATTGCTTTGTAATAATAAAATTCCAAAACCTAATGGTTATGGTTATAGCTAATGGTTAGTAATGATTAGTAAATAATGGAATATTTGTGTCATAGTGCATTATACGCAGGTACTAATCAAATGTTTGTTAAAAAATAATTGATTTACAACTAACATACTACAAAATTAAAATATTTGCCAGAAAATCACAAGTCGTATAAGGGGTAAGTAAAAATAGCTAACTTTTCCTATTTAAAACCAGATATTAAATAAAAACTTGCAAAAATTAAAAATAAAGAGAGTTTTCATATCTTTTAATTAGTGAGTTGTCTTTAAATGTTCTAAGACTTTCATAACAATAAGATTGTTTTTTATTTAATATGTTATGAAAGTCTCTCCTATAACTATAAATAGTGAAAGTCACATGAAGTTACAATTGTTCATTTAGTTATTTTCACTTTTATGGGAAACTTATGAACTAAATATAAAGTAACAGTTGGCAAGTCCTACATTGTGTTTTGTTATTTTTTACATTTCATAGATCACATACCATGCAGTTAGAAGTAGCTCAAGCAGCCTCTGAGAGGTTGTATCCCGCTTTGTTCCAATGTTTTGCTGTTATCATTAGTGGGTAAGTTGTTGTCTTTTACCTAATTTTTGTAATAACAATAGAGATTCTATAGAATCCTAGCCTAAGTCACTGGGTCATTTAGTTACTTGTTCTACAATATACTTTTTTATGAATGTTGATTATTGAGTAGAATGTCTTTTATAAAATGTACTTATATCTTTATATTAAATTATTACTAAACAGAATTTATTTTTCAGTTATATTGCTGGCCGCCTTAATGTGGTCACCAAGGCAGAGTCAAAAGGAATTGCCACTTTTGTGGGCACCTTTGCATTACCATCTCTCATATTTTTGTCATTAGCTCAATTAGACTTTAGCATTGTTAATTGGACATTTTTAATTTCAATGCTATTAGCTAAGGGAGTAGTATTCTTTGGAGTCGTTATTGTCACCATTTTGGTGTCAAAGCCCATGAATTTAGGACAAGCTGGAATGTTTGCAATATTTTGCACACAGAGTAACGACTTTGCTTTGGGATATCCAATCAGTAAGTGTATACTCTTTGCTCAACTTATCGATTTAGGTTATAGATCTTAGATGGATGTATGAGTTCCATTGTTACCTCGTGTAGCATAATATCTAATTAGGATTTGAACATTAGTAACAATAAATTATACTAGTGTATGCCTAGTGCAATACAATCATTAATGTAGGTTGCCCTTGCCTACTAATTTAAGTCAACTAAATCAACATTTCGTGCTAATCTACTTCATTAAATGTTGTTCAGAATTGTTTATTTTTGACTTACTCAACTAAATTACAAGCTTAGTGAAAACTAGGAATAACATTACAATAACAAGAAACTGGTCGGTGCCTACACCGAAAGTTCCCACGTGAGTTTTAGCCGTGTTATAAATAAATAATATAGTATAATGTCTCGCGAAAGTTTTAATAAGTTAATAACAAGAATCTAATAGCGAAAGGAACTATTTAGCTTTATTTTACTAGTAATTGTTTACAGAGTATACTAATAATGTTCTTATTCTTGTTTCAGTTAATGCAATCTATGAAAAAACTCATCCCGAGTATGCTTTATATCTGTATTTAATGGCACCTATTTCTCTGGCAATACTTAATCCTTTTGCTTTTGTTTTGCTTGAAATTAATAAGCAACGACAAAATACAGATCAGTCGGATAATACGCAGAACCAAAAACAATATGTTATTAAAATTAAAATGCTACTACAGATTCTCAAAGGAATAGTATTCAATCCAGTATTAGTGATGACTGTGTTAGGTATTATTGGTAATATTGCTTTTAAACACAAACTGTCCATTTACATTGAAGGACTTTTAGAGGTAAAATGTTTAAAATTACTATGTAAAAAAAAGATGAATACAATCTTTATCTAATGTTACCTTGGACATAACTTGTTTGGTTTTTTTAAATTGTGTAAGTGATTGAATCTTAAAAAAGGTGCCTATTAAGGCACCTTTTATTGCAAATAAATATTAAGTAAATGTCACGTGTTACTTATGTCCATATTGTTAAAAAGATTTATAATTTTCGTTAGATAAGCCTAAGAGTGACTTGTACAAAAATGTTAAGGATCAAAAACTTTTAATTTTAGGTTTACGGTCAAGCCTTTACTGCATCGGCTCTATTCTTATTAGGATTAAGAATGGTTGGTCAAGTGTATAGACTTAGAGGGCCTGCATTAATAGTACCATGTGTACTAATTATGGTTAAATTGTAAGTAGTTTTTTCTGGACTTCTAATAACAATATTTCTCACTAACTTAGATTAATAAATAAGCACCAATACTGGTTTGGGGTATGAATTATCGATCTTGCGGTGGAGGGTTCGATTCCCGCCATTCAACTATTGTAAACCATATCCTAGCACAAGCTTAGAGCTTAGTTGGTATAGTTAAAGGAAATATTGGTAAAGTAACAAAAATTAACTGATATTTAAAAGAAAGAAATCTTATTTTAGGGTAATACTACCGGTGGTGATGAGAGAATGTGTATCGGCGTTAAATGCTGGTGATAATCAGACTGAAACATCATCACTTTCAACATATGCATTCTTGTATGGAACCATACCAACAGCACCAGCCGTGTTTGTATTCTCCAATATTTATCAGTTGGAAATGGACTTGGTAAGTATGACAAACTAATAATGACACATTAAATCATGTTTTATAGACCTTGGAATTCTCGTAATTTTTTATTATTATTTCAACTGAGATATAGAACTACACCTTGGTGACATCTATGCATGATAATTACATTGTCTATATACTATAAAGAATATTTTGTACACATGATATATTCTAATGGTCAATATTTTTGCCCAGTTTTTTACGGGTTAATCGTCATAACGCTTGCAGCGATTTTAATGAAAAGGCTGATAGAAAAATTATAGGCTATTATATAGACACACATTTATATAGTAGGGAAAGGAAATAACTACAAAATAATATAGGTTTCTGTTATTAAATAGTTTACCACAAGCATTGAGGCAATAAATAAATTTCGTTGCTTTCAGATGGCATCATCAATGGTTATTTGCACATTCCTATCGGCTCCTATAACATTCCTCTCCGCACAAGTTATTACTTTGAATAAGGACTATGCTGACCAACTGAAGAAATTTGGCTTTGACTTATCAATAGTGTCTCTATTTGCTGCTCTTTGGATCTTCTTGGTTTTCACTGTGACGAGGAAATATAAAAGAATGCCTCACAGGATTACATTCTGCTTGAATATTACACAAGTAAGTTTTGACTGAGTAATAAATGGATTTAAATAAATCAGAACAGATTGATTAATGGATGAAACACTATTGGAAGATAATTGACGTCAGTATTAATACTAGCTATTGCTTGCGACTTCGCCCGCGTAAATAAAAAATATAGCCTATGTTACTCACTGATAACAAAGCTTTTAATGATGAAAGATTTTTGAAATCGGCCCAGTCGTTTTTGAGTTATTTCAATACATACAAAAATACAAATCCTCTTTATAATATAGTATAGATATAAATTGACACATTCAAGGCCATTGTTTTGTCTTGTGATTATCAAGTAATATGAGAGACCCCTAAACTTTTTTTCTTAGATCTCTTTCATCTGTTTCGGTTGCTGGTTCTTAAATTCTGTACCATTAGGTATATTTACCCTCGTGAAATGAGACTTTGGTATTTACAGTATTACTGTTTGTAGATACTGCTGGCTATCAGTATGATCTGGGGCGGGCCGCTGAGCACCTACCCGCCGAGCTGGCAGTACGTGGCGCAGCAAGGTTTGCAGATATTCTCCACTTACTCCTGTTTACTCTGGACTTGCATGTTGTCTGTCGGACTACTAACATTGGAGGTAATAACTAAAAAATTGTCTTATTTTCAGTAAATATTAACAAGCATAAGTAACTTTTAAAGGTGGTTGATTATTGTATATGTCCTTGATTAATTGTATACAGTTTTGTACAGATTGAGACCTCAATATTAACCAATAGGACGCAGCTTTACAATCTGTACAAATGATGTGGGCTAATGGTTCACGGATAATGCGCATATTGTTACCATATTGATTATAGTTGTTGCTCGCGACTTCACCCGCGTTAAATTATGAAATAATAAAAAATATAGCCTATGTTACTCACTGATAACATAGATTTTTAATGGTGAAAGGATTTTATATCAGTCCAGTACTTTTTGAGTTATATCAATATATATATTTTATAAAAGAAGGGGGCAAACGAGCGGCAGGAACACAGAGGTGGTCAACGACGCCTATGGACATGCACAACATCAGAGGAATTACAGATGCGTTGCCGGCCATATATACACAAATGCAAATCATTTCTCTCTATAAATTAGGATAGATTTATAAATAATTTTTATTTGAATTTCACTCGTGGGAAGTTTTATTTAACTGGCACACCGGAGGTTTCCGCGACTGTACCTATTTAATTATATGTATTGTTTCTACTTTTCCGGGAGTTGAAGACCAACCGGTTTGATGTAGACATTATTATGTTAATATTGGCTGAGCCAACAACCGACGCGGCTGCACGGTTATGCCAGTTTGTTTCTTAAACACTATAAGTAGCACTATGGGATTGACATGTATTTTCAAAGAAAAAAAACCCTACTTTTTCTATAAAATTAAAAAAAATATTGATCGAGTCCTTTTGAAGCATGTAGAATTATTAATGTTATAGAGTCGCGGGCCATGCTTCGTGTTGTCACTGTGGCCGGTGCTGGCTTTCGTGGCGTGGGGCGCGCCCGCGCTCATGGTGGCCATCCTGCTGGCCACCAAGCCCACCGCCGGCATCTTGGACACCAACGCTACGGATGTCATACGTCTCTGTCTGCTGGTGTTTAGCTTGACAGGTACGTCTGTGCCACTACAATTTAAGATACTCGGTTGCACTATATACATAATTTAATTTGAAGTTCTATTTTCAATTATTGCTATGCAATATTTATTTTGTAGACTTTAATAGTAGAAGGGGGCAAACGAGCAGCGGATCGCTTAATTATAATTGATACGACGCCCATGATGCGCTGTTGTCCTTTAAAAGAAGTACGCTCTTTTCTTGAAAGCCCCTAAGTCGTAACTATTTGGAAATAAAAAAAATTAAATTCTATGGCATATCTATTAGATTTATGTTATTTTAAAAAAAACTAGTCAACAATATATGACGTTCTTACTGTGTAGGAAAATATTATGATGGATAGGAACAAATTCAAAGATATGATAAGTCAACCCGCAGTGGTACATTGTTGTTGATGGCCTAGTCACCTCTAAGTTAAAGTAGGGTCTGAGCTTAGGGACGTATAATGATATTGCAGTGACGAGCGGTTGTTTGATCCTGTACATGCGGTGGCGGCGGCGCGGCGCGGGCTCGCCGCTGTCGGAGACCACCAGCCTCGTCGACAACGCGGAGCCCGTCTCCAACACCTCGCACACGCAGTCCGTTTCTAACATGGGTATCAACATTACTATATTATTAAGTAGCTTTCGCCCGCGACTCCGTCTGCGTGGAATTAAAAAAAATGAGTAGCATATGTGTTCTTCCAGGCTGTGATCTACGTCTGTGTCAAATTTCATCGAGATCTGTTCAGCGGTTTAGGCTACAAACTCTAACAAACATCCATCCATCTAAACTTTCGCATATATAATATTAGTATGATATTAAGATTATTTTATAGTGGTCATATTTTCACTAATTTTAAATTGTGCGTATTCCTACTTAATTTTTTTACTTAATATTTTTATGCATCACAAGGAATGGAAGAGCATGGTAAATATTAATCATAATTCTTTTTTAAATAATTTTTCTACCATGTTTTAGACACTTCTTGCTTTTGCATTTAATTCAAACAGCTGTACTCAGTACATTGTTTTTGTATAATTTTTCGATTTTTAAACGTTTTATTTAGGTTGTTACGGCGCAATAACAGCGACGCCCTCGCCTAATAGAAATGCAAACGGCTGCTGCACCAACGACCCGAGCTGCGAGAGCGGCTTCATGAATTCATCCTCCAGGGATTTGGAAGACATCGCCGATAACGACAGGTTGGTTATCAAATCAATTTAATATTTTCTCTTTACACATATTTCTTAATAGACAATGATAGTTTCTATGTATTTCGAACAATTTTTATGGCCCCTTTTTGTGTTCTCGGAGGAGTTAAGACTGTAATGTGCGAGTAATTCCCAATTCTGTGGTAATCTTTTCTGTTATATTGTTCGGTCGCCCAACCCCGTCTTGTAACAGGACAAGGGTGAATCTTCAAAAGTCACGTTGAATACTAAAGGAAGGTAGTTATGTGAAGTTTGACCTACCAAAACCCCTTAATGACTAATTTTGAGTGTATAGGAGAGGGTCCTGGGAACTTATTGGAATGAACCAGAATTAGCATTTCTTTTATAAATTCAATTATGTTAAATGCTTGTGTGAATTGAAATGGCCCTATTTGTGTCGTGTAGGGATTGTGGGTGCAAGTGTATGCACGGTGCTGGTGCTGGGGGTGCTGGTGCTGGGGCCGGGGGTGGGGGTGCGTGCGAGTACGTGAGCGCGCTGGAGGCGGCGGCGGGGCGGCTGGGGCTGCTGCCGGCGGAGCAGTCGCGCGGCCGCGGCGGCCAGCTGCTGCGCCACACCGTGCTCGTCATCGCATACAATCTCACCATGTTCATCGTATGTGTTCAATCACATTTTTTCATTTCTTTTTCATATCAATAAAAAGTTGATTTATGTTCATTGACAGAAAATATGTGAAATAACATTTTTATAGATAACAAATCTAAAGATTTTAAACACAATGTTTTATTATTTTTTTCTAATAACCACAATTCAGAAACAAGTTTATTTTCACACAGAATTTTATCTAAACATCCGGTGGTTTAGTCCTTAAAATGGGAGAAATCATGTTTGTTATTTTCTTTTAGAATATCCTCAGTAATGTTACTTTTAACTTTTTTAACTTTTATATCATAAATTCGAAAGTTTAGATGGATGGATGGATGTTTGTTAGAGTTTGTAGCCTAAACGGCTGATCGGATTTCAATTAAATTTGGCATAGACGTAGAGGATAGTCTGGTATAAAGCTAGTTATATTACCAATTCGAGAGTTTAAATTATTCGACGTTAAAGGACTTAACTAAAACTGCTCAATAGATTTCGTCAAAATTTGACATAGATGTAGAACAGTGGAGGAAAATAGCGTCAAGTTTTATTTTTAATTTCGTTGGCGTTGATTAAAATAACAGTGTGAATAGGGCGTGACGTACACGGGGTGGCGCGTGCTGCGCAAGGAGGAGAGCGGCGTGTACATAGAGATCGCGTTCCTGGACGTGGCGGCGCGCGCCGGACAGCCGCTGCTGCTCTGCGCGCTCTTCGGCCTGCGCCCGCAGGAGATCCTGCTGCCCACACTCACCTACATCAGGAACAAATGGTCAACAAACACAATACTAAACACTTCTAACAAATAACAACTGCATGTTAACTTCTTACTAATGGTTTAAATGTGAGAACGGCTTAACGGATCTCTATGAAATTTG